ACATAAGTAAAATCTTCCTCCACTATTGTACTTTTAACAATTACATATAGAAACAAGAAAGTAACATATTTATTACATGAACACTACTTCACAAACATTTCGTTCGAATTAATGGGAAATTTCTTTTTCGACTTCTTTCTTTCAAAAATTTGCTAGTTTTTTAATTACACCCGAGTCTAACCTTCTTCGAACAAGATTAAATTTCGACTCCGGAAATAGACTTACTTTATACACAACATTAACAAGCAAACTTAGTATTTGCATTTAAAATACTTGAAAAACAAAAGCTTCAATGAAAGAGAACCAAACCGAATATGTCCCCATCGTCGTACAAAATTAAGCCCCTATCCAATCATGGTTGCACTTTGTGTTACATAAACGTGACCACAAAATATATGTTTTCAAAGGGTATATTTGTTCATAAACCTCAAGTCAAATGTACTATTGTTTCGATATAATTGATAAGTATATTAATACAAATCAAGTACAGTATATGATTGTAAACTTTGAGTTGAAATAAAAATATTTTGTACTTGATTTGTTTTCTGAAAATCAAACAATACCATGTGTTAGATTCGTAGCCTATATGTAGGATAAATCTTTAGTAGTATATATACTTATTGATGTATAACTTTAATACAGTTTGAAAGAGAATTGTGTGTACATGAAGCTCTCTATATAATTTTACTTTTTCAGATCACTTCAGCTTTTCCTTTGAAATAGCTTAAATTCTTCTTCTCGTTGGCTATAAGTTGCTGAAAAAATTAAATTCGTACTTTATTCTATACGCATAAATAAGTAATCTTGCCAACATGACCCAAAGTTATTGCCAAAGGACATGTATTATAATTAATTAATTAAAATAATATATTTTCTTCATAATTCTTTTTTGTCTCAAATATATATATATATATATATATATATATATATATATATATATATATATATATATATATATATATATATATATATATATATATATATATATATATATATATATATATATATATATTAGTTAAATAAATTTGGTAATTTTTTACGGCATGAACTCAAAGTTTTTTATGGCAACTCTCAAATAGAATATGGTATCATTACATTTTATTTGAATGCTTATTTATTTTTCAAGTCAAAAATAAAATAAAATAATATTATTTTAGAAATTTTTAGATTTTATATTGATTTTTTCAAAATTTTCGATATAAAATTATATGTTTTGAGAAAATTGATGATTTTATATTGGATTTTTCTAATATATGATGTAAAATTATAGTTTTGAAAATTTTTAATTTCATAACAAATTTTTAAAATAGTTGATATAAAATGTGGGAGTGTGTTATCAATCGTTAGTTGGTTCAATGGTGATTGACACTGAATTTGATAGGAAAGACCACACTTCAATCTCCTATAACTGTGATCAGTGAAGGCTGAAATCATTTAATGTCATAACTGACTCTTAACCAGATTAATCGATCCAGAAAAAAATGTGACAGTGCATTGATTTTTTTTGAAAAATTTAGTAGACTAATTTTGAACAATTATTTAAAAAAAATGAAAAACAAAGTTAATATCATTGAATTTTTTGATAAATCTAATTTATATTATTAATCGATCCAGAAAAATATGTGACAGTGCATTGATTTTTTTTGAAAAATTTAGTAGACTAATTTTAAACAATTATTCAAAAAAAAAGAAAAACAAAGTTAATATATCATTGAATTTTTTGATAAATCTAATTTATATTATAGAGTGTTCAGGTGAATAAATCAAAGAAAAATTACAATGTTTTTTTTTTCAAAATTAATAATGTTATACCTTAATTTTTCAAGTTAAGGGCTGTTGGGCCATCTGGATAAAGAAATTCATGTATATTTCTCAGAATCAAATAATCGATTAAGAGTTATTTTGGAAATAAAAGTATTTGTGGACTAACAAAAAGTGTGATCCATGTAATAGTTAAGCACTGCTATTTAAGATAAGCCACTGAAACAAGAATTTAATTTTTATCCTATGCTTTTGACTTCAAAGTTCAATCAATGTGATTTATAAGAGACTTGAACGTTTTTTCGCATATGCAAAGAGTTAAATCATCTTTTGTTAACATGTGTGAGGTAAAAGATGAATATGTAAATAGGGAGCCAAAAAGGGTGAGTGGATTAACGAATCGTAATATTTCACATTTATATGCTTAAGGGATTTATTTATGAGTTTGATGTAAAAGAAAACGTTTAGCATAAATGTGTCAAGAGTTTCATTGCAAAAAATAACAAACTAAGGAGCTTAACTCAACCAATAAGGCAAATTCAGATTCAAATTTTTACAACAGATATACTCAAATTTAAAGCCTGTTTGTCTTAGCTTTAGGAATTTTTTCTTTATAGTTTTAAAACAAGGTTTCTGTGAAAAATAATTTTTATCTAAGAAGAATTATATATATATATATATATATATATATATATATATATATATATATATATATATATATATATATATATATATATATATATATATATATATATATATATATATATATATATATATATATATATATAGTTTTGGGTATGTTAAAGCCCAAATTTACGATGCCTAAATCAATGCAAATTCATTCTACTTGACCCAAAGTTTAAAAGTCACTTCATAAGAAACGCAAAGCACACCTTATGATTTTCACAAAGATCAGTGCTATCAGTTAAGATTCCTCACCAACAATTATTTTTGGTTCCAATACAAAACATATATCTAACGAGGCACAAAAGGCCAAGGGTGTAAAAAAAGGGGCTGATAAGCGGTACAAAAGGTATCAAACAACTAGAAAAAATGAAACAACAATAAAATAAAATAAAAACACCAATACAACACAATATAAAATGAAAAATACCAATACAAAGAAAGGAAGGTCGTAGGAAGGAAAAAATATTTAAAAAATACTATAAGAGAACACAAATTAGTCCCCTAACTAAGGACCTGCAAAAAAACGACATCAATCTCAACTAAGCAACAAGAACACACTAAAAAGAGGCCGAAGACACTCATGTTGCTATTAGCTCAGATGTTAGATATAGTAATTGAGTCGGGTTGAAAAAGCACATGAGTTTCCCACTGACCGACAAATATACATTTTCAAACCAAAAGGATGATCATATCTTCCATGTCTTTTATTGTCATCACCAATTTACCTAAGAACACAATATCATTCAGAGATTTTTAGACCAACAAGATCACAACATGCCAAATCATAAGAAATCCCCTAAGCCTAGACGAACTACCAAGAGGTAAATCAATTGAAAAAGGGCAAGGAATCTCTAGGTAAAATTGCATATCACCCCAACCAACTGAAAATTCTGTACAAACAGAAATCATTGCATCACTAGTCACAAACATATGAAAGGACTACATTACAAACCTCGAACAAAAAAAAGGCAAGAGACTCCCTCTGAACCAATGAAGATCCGCCATCTTGAGTAAATTTTCTCTAGGATGAATCTTATCTTACAGGAGTTTCTAGGAGAAAACAATTACTTTAAAGGGTGTCCAGTTACTCCAGCAACTAGAAAGAACCTATTCCACCAACGAGACCGGATGATCTCTAGGAAACTCATTAAAGAGAATAAAATATTGTGTGAAACTCATAGAATAATAACCATCTTTAAGGAAAATATCTAATATCGAAACTTGTCCATGCAAAAGAAAAGACAAGCTCTTATCTACTATAAAATCCCTAATTCAAGTCTGCTCCCCCCATTTACCAACCTCTTCCGCTGAATAATCCTTTTGTTCAGAGATAGAAAGAATTCAAGCGAAAATCTAAAAACTTAGTGAGAAGACCAAACCTAACTTTCTTAACCATACTATCCTAAAACCAATTTGAGGGGTCCTCCCCTTTGGCACTGAGAACTGACACACATCTCTGTTAAGGAGATACTTAGCGAAGGCAGACAACTCCACCTTCTAAGACTAAAGAAGTCGGAACAACACCATATATGTAAACAAAATATCTCTCTATACGCCTGAATCTCTCAAAATCAATTGCCACCTCCACTTATCCAACAGAGTCAGTTTAACAAACCTGAAGTCGCAGACACTAAAAAAAATGGAAAATAATATAGGTGGAGAAGGAGCGATATCCCTCTCTTAATCTATTTTTTTTCTACATCTGTTTTTCTCTCCCTCAATATCTTTTTCTCTCCTTCTTTTTCTCTTCCTTTCCCTTCCTCACACTCTTTCCCTCGTATTCTCTCTATCATTATCGCTTTGTCTCTTTCTAACTCCTCCATCTACAAGAATATCATTCAAATATTATCACCTTAAAGTTGACCTAAAAATTGAAACTAAAAGTACATACGAAAATTTTTTAGTACACAAAATATGTGATGTTTTTTTAAGAATAAAAATTGAAAAAAAAAACTTAATTTAGAGAATCAAAAATATCTTTAACTCATCTAAATTTCTATAAAATATTATATCATGGTAAAGTGTACTATAAAATTCAATAATATTCATTAAAAAATAAAACCTATTTTACAAAAATATTGCTTGAGTCCATATTCAAACTCTCAATGTTCCATTTATTATTTTTAGTGTAATTGAGTTTTGTTACTGGTTTTAATAATAAAACCTCGTATTATATATGTCATTAAATATTAAGGAAGGTTAAATTTCTGTGAAGAATATTACTTTTTTTCTAGATATAGAAAGAAACTGAAAAGGTAATTATTAAAGCATAATGTTTTGAAAAGTAAAAACAAAAGTTGTATGAGAGCACACATGCACAACTAGTATTACAATGCAAATGCAACAGTAAACAAAAAAGCTGAAATTAAGTTTAAAAAAATCACTTAACTTAATTCTGTTATCCAAAACAAATTCCTAGCTGCTTAATCACCTAATTATAGTCATGTCCACTTGCCTTGCCAACTTGTCACAAACACATCCTATATATACAATAAACACACATCGCACAAAAACCAAACCAAAAAACCAAACACAACTTTTCTTTTCCATTTATGCCCTTATCTCAATCTTCTCCCATGGCTTCTTCAATCCCTCACCACTTCTATCCAAACTACACTTCTGATTTCACACCACAACAAGGGTTGATGTCTTCGTCGATCATCGACAATAATACTATGATGTGGGGTTGTCAAGAAAATATCATGCCTGTTTTTGATAATTATGGAACTTATGATCAAATTGTGTCACTTGATTGTGATGCTATGTCTTCTGGTACTTGGGTTCCGAATTTTGTTGAGCAACAAGATTTTGCGGTTCCGGCGTTGTTATCGGATTGTAAAGTCGGATTTTATGGCGGAGGGTTTCAGAATTTTAATGGAAGATATAGTAATAGTAATAATCAGCCACATGTTGGTCATGAGTTTGTAGAAGATCAATGTTGCGGTTTTGTTGAAGATATTAAACCTTCTCCTGCAGTTTATCCTAATGTTTCAAGAGAAAATTGGGTAAGATATGCTGCAAATTTTGTGACGAAAAATTATAGATATTTCATTTTTCTGTCACTATTATTTTTTATATCACCGGGTGCAATTGTAATAATAATTGCACTGATGTTGCAGACATCTCTAATGCATTAAGTTTTTCAGAAATTTTCATGCTAATATCTTGAAAAAAAGTTACTGCACGATACTTTTTTTCATCATAGAAAAACATATAAATATAATCGACATGTGTATATATATGTTTAGATTAATTAATCAATTAATTATTGTAGGGGATTCAAGGTAATCAAATAGCAGCAGTTGAAGAACCAAATATAAAAGTAGGAAGGTACTCAGAAGAAGAAAGGAAAGAAAGAATTCTTCGATATTTGAAGAAAAGAAATCAAAGAAACTTCAACAAAACTATCAAGGTATATAAATTTTCATCACTACATGACTCTTTCTTTTCTTCCATTAATTAATCAATTTTGAATTTAATAAACAAGAAATTAGAATTGAGAATTTCTTCACATGATTCTACAGTATGCATGTCGGAAAACTTTAGCTGATAGAAGAGTGAGAGTGAGAGGAAGGTTTGCAAGAAACAATGAAATATGTGAAGAAGATCACATGGCCACAAAAAAGCTTGAGAATCATCATGATCATATTAATGAAGACTTTTATGGTTCTGATTCATTCCAGTTCCAGGTATAATTTTCATTCATTTGTTGTTTACTGTTTATATGGATATATGAATTAGTTAACAAGATTCAATAAATTAATATCAATTAATTAATATCAATGAATGACATATACATTAAACTAATTAACTTTCTAATTATTTAAAAAAACTATATATTTTTTATCATAATTATTTATTAAATCACAAATATAAATTATGGTAAAAATGAAAAATCAAAAGAAAAATTAATTTATTTAAAAAAAATTAGCAATAGAAATTAATGATATAAATTATAAATTTGTATAAATAACTAGGGGGATTTATTTTATTTTTTCTATTTTAAATTTTGTCACTAATTAAAAAAATTATTTTCTAATTGTGACTATGCATTCTAATTATATTCTTAATTAATGATTAATTATGCAGTTAAAGAATGAAGAGGAGGATTGGCTTCAAGAAGCCATGGCAAGTTTGGTGTATTTATCTCATTCATCCCCAGAAGATATATGACTTAATTATCATCATCAAAAAATTCTACATATGTCTTGTGATTAATTATGGGCTTAATATATTTCTCACAAGGTTTAATTAATTAAGCTAGCTAGTGTGAAAGGTGAATAGGAAGAGAAAGTATACTATAGCTAGCAGCTAGTAAGTTTAAATTAAGTGTAATATTATGTTACTTAATTTTTCTTTGATAATTAATTAAGTACGTAGATATATAAGCTCTAATTGCAGCTAGTAAGTTATAGATTAATTTTTTAATTTGATGTTAATTTTACAGACATGTTTGTTAATTAATTAAATATGTGGGCCTAATTAGTTTGACTGGATACTTGTGTTCATTGAAAGATATAATATTCTAATAAAGGACTTCGTTTCAAAAATATATATGTTATAATATTCCAATGAGAGACTTTAGGTTTGAAAAGACATAAATATTCTGATACTCTAGCTTTTATATATATGTCACAATCTTTGTGCTGTTTGGGATCAATTATCATTATTATTGATGTAAATCACTCATTGTGATGATTACTAAAAGGCACTAATCGGATTTCAACTTATCATATTCTACACGTTTAATAATTACTGTTTGAGAAAATCTTTGGTTTCAATTCAACGTTTCCACTATTTTTTTTTCATATAAGAAACTCAAATTTTTATTGTGTGTTCAATGTTAGGGATGGCCCAACATATACGATTGTAATGTAGTGTAGATCAATATTTGGATGAGGCATATTAATACAATGAGACTTGCTAAAGTATTGTTTGGAGGTTTTCAATAATCACGATGTATATTATTCTTTCTATTCATAAACTTTTCTATGAATAAGGCCTAAAATCAAAGGCCTTAATTAGACTTTAGTACACCAGGCCACACTAGTGGTAACTAATAGATTTCTTTCTTCTCTCTTTCTTTTATTTAAGGTATCTTTGCTACACATAATATAAGGTTTTCATCTCATCCAATTAAAATCTAAGTTCAAATGTTTTGGAATACGACTTTTTAATTTAAAAATAAGTAAATAAATAAATCTTGTCGCTTGATCTTTAAGTATAATCGACAAGAAATATAATTTAAAGTTTGAATTTCGAAATCCAATTCTTGTAATTTTGTGTTTTATTTAGAATCAAAATGGTGTTTTTATTTTATTTAATTTTTTAATTAAAATATAAATACTTTATTCTCTTGATTATTTGTGAAATCGAAAAGATATGTAGTTTAGGGTTTGAACTTTGATTCTCAACTTCTGCAATTTTATGTTTTATTTACAACCAAAATGACACCCTTATTTTTTTTTTTTAAAATTATAATATAAATACTTGATTCCCTCGGTTGTTTAACCAACCGAGATATAAACTTCAAACAATATTTTACGTAAACATCACAATGTTGACTCTCATTCACTTTTGCATTTCTCATAAACTTTTTGCGCCTTAGCAAACGAACGAAACATCATTCTTCAGTTTCTCCACCTAACGAACGAAACACCATTTTTCATCTTCTTTACCTAACGAACGAAGTAAACAAAGGATAAAGGAAGCTCGAATTAGGAAACTCGAACCTCAAACCAACACATTTAGTTGACTCTCTCATCCCATTTCTAATATGTAAAACTTTTACCATGATTGTACCTGTAATGTTGTTGTTGTTGTTGTTATTGTATTTATAATTGTTGTGTTGATACTGAACGTATAGTTGTTGTTTCTCCAAGATTGTACCAGTAATAATATTGTTGTTTTTTTAGTCTTTGTAGTCGTTGTGTTGAGATTGAATGTTCATTGTCGTTTGTTGTGTACGATTTTTATTTAAGTTTCAGAAGCTATATGTGACTATGGATCGTAGTTTGATAAAAGTCAATAGATCAAGTAAAGAGTATGAGAATAGAGTGATTCAATTTTTTAAATTAGCATAAACGAGTATGATAATGAGATTTTTTAATGTCTTTGTAAAATATGACAAAAAACGCAAAAAAAAAAAAAATCAAAGAAAGATATATTCAATCATTTAGGTTATGTTGGAATTGTTCAAAATTACATGAAATGTGTATGGCATGGTGAAGTGAGAAAAGAATACATATGTCACACGAAGTTGAAGTTGATGACTATACGAATGATAATCTAGAAGATATATTCATGATATTATAGTACATTCTTTTAAGAAAGCCTACATGGATGATACTTTACAAAGTGACATGGAATAGTTGTTTTTTCGGGGATGCAAAAATTTTACAAGATTGTCAGCTGTGTTAAGACTATCTAATCTTAAGATAATAGGTAGGTGGACGACGAGAAGTTTCACGAAATTGCTTGAATTGTTGCAAGTAATGCGTCCATAAAGTAAGACGTTGTTGAACCATAGTTATGAGGCCAAGAAGATATTGTGTCCAAGGGGTTTGGAATATGTCAAAATACATGCAATGTAAAAAAGTGTAACGGTAACTATAACTAGATTGTGCTTATTCTTCAATGTTATATGTAGTAAAGTCATTGATCTTTAAAATTTAGATGAGTTAGAATATGAGATTACAATTATCTTGTATCAATTAGATATGTATTCTCCTTCATTGTTTGTAGACATTATGGTTCACTTAATTGCTCGTCTAGTAAGAGAGATTAGATTTTGTGATCTAGTTTATTTAAGGTGGATGTATCCGAAAAAGCGATACATGAAGATCTTTAAAGGGTATATGAAGAATCATCATCATCCAGATACTTCAATCATTGAACAGTACATCACAGAAGAATCTATTGAGTTTTATACAAACTATTTGTCAAAAGAAACGCTACTACAAAAAGGATATACAACAATGCCCACGTTACCACATCTAAAGGATCCATCGTGGTAGAATCTATTTAATTAGGCGTTTTCTTTTTATTTTTATTTTTAAGCCACTTTTCACCACGGTTGGAATTTTCAACCGTGGTAAAATGTGGTGCATGGTCATGAGTTCGAATCTTGATGCCGTTGTTGTTCTACTGCTGCATCTTTTATATTTTATTAAAATACATACAACAACGGTTGTTTAATACAACTATTGTTGTATTTAGCACATGGTCATTAGTTTGCATCTTGTTGTAGTTATTATTGTTCTACAATTGCATTTTTATATTTTATTAAAAGACATACAACAACAGTTGTTTAATACAACCATTGTTGTATATAGCGTGTTTAGAAGTCACTCAGGGTCATGGAGAAATGTAAGCGTGTTTATTAAGTTTTTTCACTTTCATTAAACAAATCTTTACCGTACATTTAGTGAGTATCAATGCTCAAGAATCTACCATTAGTTATCCACATGAAACCTAAAACTTAGACGAACTTCCAACTTAGATGAACTTCATCTTCTTCCTCCAGACGTGATCTTTCTTTTGCGACACTCTATTTCTCCATTAAACCAAGCTCGAAAATATTATTTCTTCCATAAACAATACTCGAAAATATAATTTCTTTCATTAAAAAAATTTCAGAACTCCATCATCTCTTCTCCAACATGAATGAGACAAGGAAAGTATGGATTCAAGTTAGCAATATTAGTTTTTTTTGTTCTTGTTGTTCTTTTTCTTTTGTCATTGTTGTCGTTGTTGTTCTTGTTGTTATTATTGTGCATGTTGGTGTTTTGTTTTTGTTGTTCTTGTTGTTGTTCTTGTTGTTGTTCTTGTTGTTGTTGTTGTTCTTCTTCTTCTTCTTCTTGTTCTTCTCGTTGTTGTTATTGTTGTTCTTGTTCTTGTTTTTGTTGTTCTTATTGTTGTTTTTGTTGTTCTTGTTGTTGTTCTTATTGTTCTACTGTTACATTTTTTTATTTTATTAAAAGACATACAATAACAATTATTGAATACAACTATGGTTGTATGTAGCACGCTATCTAGTTTACTACCATAGTAAATAGGCTGTGATTGTAAATAACCCACTTATAATCATACTCTACCTAATAATGGTTGTTCACTCATTATTATAGAGCTTTCGCAACCATTGTTATATTTGTTTTTCATAGTAGTGAAAACTATATATTGGAATTCTCAAGTCTCGTCATAATGAAAAATATGGAGGTAGAGGTAATCAAGGTTTAAATATTAAGACAATATATTGATATGTATTTCTTCAAAAATATTTGTATATATTGAATAACGTTGATGAAGTTTAACCTTACTTGTCCGCTCACAAAAGTCTTACCAAGGAAAAGTTCCCTCGGATGAGTGAAAAATTGATGTTGACAGAGCATAATAGAAATTTCATAAATTGGTTTAATAAAAAGGTTTCTAAAGATAGTAGTGCATCCGAGACAATTCAATAGATTTCACATATACCTAATTTAAATATAATAACTTGGAGCGTATGCGACATTACTAAATTTTCATTCTATACAAACTCAAAGGATGGTCGTAGTACCATGCAAAATAGTACGATTACAATTGAAGCTAAATTCATGTACTTCTCTAGTTTCAAAGATATCAATCTTGTACTAACATTTAAAGCATACTTTAGGGTCAATGAGGATATTTTGGAGATTGATTATGTTATTTTAAAATTTCCTTTATTTAAGAGAATGTGGATTCACAAAAGTTGATATTGAAAGGCAGCTAATATGAACGAATCATTCATCATAGCATCCTAAGTAACACAAGTTTTTTATGTCATTGATCATTCTAAGACTAGACAATTAATTGTTTTACACGGAAAATATATTCATGCTAGTGATGAAAATCAAGATTTATATTTTGAGACCCCTTATTTTGCAACAGAGGTGTGTCTTTCATCTAAGAAAATGATTTAGATGATATGCATGTTATTCGTTATGATCATCAAGAAGTGATATGGGAAAACTAGTAAGTAAATATTTTATATGACTTAGTAATATATATTTATTCATTTTTACATTTGTATACTTTTTAATAATATTTATTTTTTCCAACATGTAGAGATGTCGGAAGATACTATATGTTGCATGGTTTTAGAAGTAAAGGAAGAAAATTAAAAAGTCTTAAAGTAAGTGTTATTCTTTGTG